GTTTTAATTGTGTTCAGCTTTTTTGCTGTTCATAGCATTCATTACTGGCTATTCAGAGCTATTCAGACGATAAGCATATCGTCTCTCTCTCTCTCTCTCTCTCTCTCTCTCTCTCTCTCGCACTCTATGTGTGCGTTAATCTCTTCAGAAATGTAAGACTTATTAAACGTTACAAACAAGTGATAAATTCTGAATGCGGTTACGAATGTGTAAAAGTTTACACGTAATGAGACGCGACTCACAGGCGTACAAGTGAGCCCACATACACCACATATACCGGTAAGAGTCTACAGACTCCACAGATTGACGGGAGAGATGAATGAATGAGAAAAGGAGAGAGAGAGAGAGAGAGAGAGAGAGAGAGAGAGAGACGATATGCTTATCGTCTGAATAGCTCTGAATAGCCAGTAATGAATGCTATGAACAGCAAAAAAGCTGAACACAATTAAAACGTGATGATTGAAAGGTTGGAGGGCTGGCAAGGATGGCAAGGTTTTGGCCATTGCCAGCACCGACTGTTGCGAGTCGGGCACCACATCTCACTCATGAATAACGTGTAGTCTTGGAGGCTGTGTACCATTGGGACGATTGCCTGATTTGGTATGATTTGGTTCACCCTGATATGCCTGATCTCTCTGTGAGACACAAATGACATGAGACTTAATAAGCAATTAATTGACTGACAGTCAGACTTGTTATCAATGAATGAGATGTGAATGCATTTATGAATTGTGGCATAATTTGAGTGTAATATGTATTAGTCTTATCTTAATCTGAACTTAAATTGAAGTTTCATTAAAGAGGGTGTGCTTAGGGTCTGCTTATATGATGATGATTATACATGTAGTGGAGTGGGGTCTGGATGGGAGCTGACGTATGCTATGATGTGGTGATGTGGTGGTGATGCCAGTGGTGTGTGATGTCTGTGCGGCGCCAACCGTCCCGACGAGTTAGTTGAAGTGCTTTAGGCGCCACTACAGCGCGCGAGTCTGTCCGCCGCCGCCCATAGCATCGCCACAAATTGCGTCGGCAGGGCATGTGATGGGAAGGCATGGATAAGGCATGGATGTGGCGCACGAGGGAGAGGCGCACTCCCAGCACATGGAGCCAATCCAACAGATTCAACGACCTGTGCGCCCGGTCTGAGCACAGGTCTCAGCGCCCGGAGTGGCGGAACCAATGCTGCCTTCAATTGAAACATCTGTCACCGATTGGAGTGGAGTTTAGTTTAACTATCAGTTCATGAAGACCTCCAGTCCTCCACTCAATCCAACCAAACCATAGATAATAATTGAGAGTTTAGTTTATTTATTATGATTTTAGATGAGAAATGCATTTAAATTTGATTCCGATGTGAGAAAAAACATTAATAACCATAATAATAGTCGACAAATGATTTTGTTATACAGAACAGACAGATATAGCGAGGGTTAATATATTTTTAATTTAAATTTCTCTAGTGTTCAACAAGTTTACAACATTTCTCGATGTATTAGTTTTTCGAAACAGGAAATACAAAAACCGAGAATTATTTTTATTTTTAGTCATTTGTTTGAGTTTTGAGTCGTCAGTGAAGTTATATATTCTTTGGAAGTAAAGACCAAAACGAGACACCAATGCGTTGGCAATGAGTTCTCAATAAATAAAAGTCAAAATCAAATGCAATACAAGAGTAGAGAGAAGAAGAATAAATGTGCAGAAAATACACCAAAAGTCTCGAGAAATAGCTTTTGGTATGTTTGATGAGAAACAGGGGTGCAGTGGGACTGTAGTGTGTGTGTGGTGTATGTGTGCATTGTTAGCACTGTTAGCACTTTACTATACCGTTCCAATGGATGCGATGGCAATGTATAGCATTTATACCATGTATACCATATATACCATATATACCATATATACCATATATACCATATATACCATATATACCATATATACCAATATTGCTATATTATTGTCATTTTAGGGTATGTGTGGAATGTTTGTTCTGGTGTGGCGTAAGTATAGTCTAAATAGGCTTTAAAACTGTACTAAAACCCGAGTCAATACTAGTGAATACATTGGCGGAAAGGTAGTAGTGATGGGTACACATAGGGATACGTGCTATTCCTATATAGTGCCCACTCATTCACAATAATAATAATAAAACTTCTTATTCTTAAAAACTATTATAACTATTATAGCGAACACCTCTGGTATTGAGCGAACCCACCACCGATCGCACCGATCGTATACTCAGTATACTATACTATACTATACTCAGTATCCCTACAAGTAGTCAAACATAAGAAATAGTTTTGGTGTAGTGTTTGAGCCCTTACTTCTTAATACCATAACTAATTCGCTTTTGTATTGAATTTTTAATTCTCACCGCAAATACATTCCAACACTTAGTTTGTGAATCGCGATAATTCCTATAATATTAGCCTCGAGTTCAGGAATAAGATATAAATAGTGGAGAAAACTGATAACAAATTATGCCATAAAATGAGAAAAACTTTTTTATTCACAAGAACTGCGCTCAAAGAATACACATTCATATCGTTTTATATTTCGCACACCAAATGAATAAACTTTTCGGTCGTCTCTTACGGATCCTAAACACTGACATCATCTTCGCTATGATCTCATCAAATAAGGTCTCACTCTTTCCACATCTCTCTCCTCATCTCTCTCTCTCTCTCTCTCTCTCTCTCTCTCTTCTCTCTCTCTCGTCATCGCAAGTAAAGGTCATCCAGTGATAGCTTCCCACGTGATCTCTGGTGTTGTGCTACTCATTATCGCCCACTCATTAATCATATTTAGGGAAAAAATAGTTTTTTCTTTATTAAAAAAACTTTTTTTCAAAACTCCTTTTACTGCGGGAGCACTGGTATGGCAATGAGAGGGGCTTGCGAAGCACCAGTATCTCTGGGATGCTGAGAGTGGTGTCCACTTTTGACACTTCCGATTACCAGTCCTCAGATGACACCTAAGCGTCAGGTCAGCGCCCACGTGACTCTTCGTGACTCTCAACCAGAACCGGGTCAACACATTCTCACCATAACATCAAACATTTGATATAATAAAATACATTTATATGAATATATATTCACTCGAGAATAGATTCATTGTATTGGAATAACTGCTAAAAAAGTTTCAACTCCTTTTCCACTCCTTTCTCAGACTTACTGTTATTATTATCGATATGTTATCATTTATAAAAACCCATAGATTCTTATAAGATTCTTAAAGTGTAGTAAAAATACAATTAAAGTATCATAAAAAGTAGTGTCTAGTCTAAAAGAATTTTGTACACAGACTTGCGAGTATTTTGTATAAAAAATTAATTAAAAGTCTGCTTATTTAATAAATGGTGTTTCAATTGCTATAAATTGTGGTCACATTGATATTAAAGGGCATATGTATTGAATGAATGGTGAGAAACTGGCGCATATAATACAGTACTACTAAATATACTATACAGCTCTGACAGTCACTCACTCACACATACACTCTCTCATAGAGTCTCTCATAGTGTGTGATGGAGTGGTGGCACTGTATGCATGAATGTATGATCAGGTAAGTGGCGTATACATACAGAGGCCGTCATAGGCCGTCATACAGAGTAGGCCGGCGCCGAGTTTGCACTGAGACCTCAGAGAGAGAGAGAGAGAGAGAGAGGAACGAGAAGAGAGCGCGAGAGGGAGAGAGAGGGAGAAAAGAGAGAGACCGGAGAGTGAGAGGAGAGAGCGTACAGAGTATTGGGAGAGAAGACAGGAGTTGGAGAGAGCAGTGAGAAGTTGTGTCTGATTTTCTCATTTAATGTGTTGGATGTGTTGGATCTGCATCTCTGGCCTGTTCTGCCTGTTGTGGTGTTGTGTCAGTTGAGACCAAACCATTGAAAAGTAAAACTAATAATGCGATTGAGAAGTGTATCGCAGAGTGGACTCCATTGGCATTGCTGTCAAACACTGACCACATGTATAGTATTGGTGACAATACTGGTGGTGACCATCTGTTGTCTGCCCACACGTGACCACAAACCCCATCACTCGCGGCAACGAAAATCACACCAAAACTCGCTGCAGAGGTCGGCGTTTCTGGCACTGCGGTCGTCGTTGGGGCCCACCATCGGACGAGTGCCGCAAATGCGGCGAAACTTTTGCCAAACGGTTCCGTATAAGCAAAAAATCCAAGAGCCGGGCTGTTTATCCCGGACAGTGTTGAACGCCTACTGTTACGGGTCGTGCAACTCGTTCTTCATCCCCGCCAACGGCAACGAGAGTCTGCCCTTCAGTTCTTGTGCTTTCTGTCTGCCGCGTCGCTACAGATGGCAAACCGTACGACTCAAGTGTCCCGACTCTGTGCCCACCATTAAGCGCAAGAAAGTGCAAATCGTGTCAAAGTGTCGGTGCCAGACGGAAATGATCTAGATCATTTGATTACATCGTTTCAATCGGTGATTACATGATTACATTATTTATCATATTTCTAATTGCACTATAATTATGAGTTGTACATATTATTAAATAAAGTATCCTGTTCCAAAATCTATACTTAGGATTATATTTAATATAAATATTTGTAATTATTATTATATATTTTAACTGTTAAATACTCTTTAAATAATGTGCCATTCATTTGATATATAAATTGTACAAAACATTATTTTACTTTACTCATTTTTATTTTTCAAACCAAATTATATATCATTTATAATTAATTTATGAATAATTATTAAATTCTGTCAATAAATTAGTTTTCAAGCAAATAAATTCTACATTTTATTTATAGTGTTCCCTAACACTTAAGTTAATCAATCAAGTCTGTTTTGAATACAAATTTGTTAATTAAATAAATATGTATTCATAAGAATTGATTTACAAATCATTACAATCTGTTTGTCTGATACCCAACGCCAACAGAATACTAATTAAAACAAATCGATAGACACTTAGCTATTAGGGGTTATTATAGTCTCTCAAAGAGTTTGTCTAGCGTTCAAATGGCTATAAATTGTTTTTAAACTGTTTTTAGAGTTCAATAAAAAACAATGATTTATAAAGTGATTGAATTCACAGAATATTGAGTTATATATCAATTGACAACTGATAAGAATCTGTTTTATGGTTCAAAAGACATAAATAATAAACTAATGTTTAAATTAGTTTATAATAGTGCTGTTTATTTATCGTGGTATATGATCGCACATATTATTATATGAATTACAATAAATACTTCATATTTTATATTATATAATACTATAATATAATTATATAATAAATATTACGAAAAGAATAATCTTTTGTGATTCAAGTGATTAGCGGTCATTGTAAGCAAGAATACGTGTATTTATTTAGCATTCATTTTCCTTTCAAACTTTATGCCACACTTTCGGGAAAATATTTATTTAAATGAACGGAAATAATATTTAGAAAGTACTACAAAAAAAATGTTAATAAATTCCAGAGTCTACAGTAAAGTACTTATACTTATAGAATTTACTAATGAATTGATCGGAATTTTGTTTTGTTTTTACTGTACTATAAATATAATGGTAACGATTAAAATAGTGCACACTTTTGTTAATGAAAGATGTGCTAAATTTAAGACTTGTTTCAAAATACTTTCAAGACTTGTACTCCATTTACACGTGAATTGTTGTCTCAATTTAGCACAATTAAAGCACACAATAGTACAAATAAATAAGGCATTTTTTATATATTTTACATGCAAAAACTATTTAGCCCAGTGCAGATATGTGAACTTTATTTAAACATTTTTATAATAAAAAATTAAATATAATATTCAAGCTCATTTGCATTAAATAAAGATCACATCTAATTATAGTAATTATTATACAAATAATATAATTCCACTCCAAAACCTTGTTAATTTAAATTACAATCTACTTATCTATATATTTCGGTGCATTAGTCGATCTCCGCTACAGTTGTGAAGTCTGAGAGCACCGACAGCTATACTTTACATGAGTTTCATTTTTCTCAATGAATTGGAAATGATTTTTACCAAATGTGTAAATAAATACAAAAAGTCAGTTACTACTCAATTTTCTAAATGAAAGTAAATTATATTTCCCCTCAAATTATGACTTCAAATGTTATGGTATTCTTGTTATAGACTTGTAAATGAAATTTAAAACATAAGAAATATAAACAGATTAAAAAATAGTTTTAGTATTTATATTTAGTTTCAATATTCAATTAAAAACTAATTCAGAGTCAAATTGAGAGCTTAAACATTTTCAAATCCAATTTAATATAGCAACATATAACATAACAGTTTTGATTGAGCTTGCTTAAATTACATAAAATTTTATTTCATAATTAACGGTAAATTGTGTGAAATGATAGTGTAGGCGATAAGGATTTCCCAGTAAAAGGATTTTGGCAATACAAATATATATTTTGTTAACTTTTTACTGCCATTTATGTATACAATTTCAATTTAATTGGTATTAATATCAGTGTTTGCCTTGAATTCAGCTTTTAAACTGTTGTACGAAATGAGAAATAAAATTCTCGTTTAAAATCATTGCTAATACTCTAGAGATTGTGAATAAAAACTAAACCCAACAACANTTTATGGTTCAAAAGACATAAATAATAAACTAATGTTTAAATTAGTTTATAATAGTGCTGTTTATTTAGCGTTGTATATGATCGCACATATTATTATATGAATTACAATAAATACTTCATATTTTATATTATATAATACTATAATATAATTATATAATAAATATTACGAAAAGAATAATCTTTTGTGATTCAAGTGATTAGCGGTCATTGTAAGCAAGAATACGTGTATTTATTTAGCATTCATTTTCCTTTCAAACTTTATGCCACACTTTCGGGAAAATATTTATTTAAATGAACGGAAATAATATTTAGAAAGTACTACAAAAAAAATGTTAATAAATTCCAGAGTCTACAGTAAAGTACTTATACTTATAGAATTTACTAATGAATTGATCGGAATTTTGTTTTGTTTTTACTGTACTATAAATATAATGGTAACGATTAAAATAGTGCACACTTTTGTTAATGAAAGATGTGCTAAATTTAAGACTTGTTTCAAAATACTTTCAAGACTTGTACTCCATTTACACGTGAATTATTGTCTCAATTTAGCACAATTCAAGCACACAATAGTACAAATAAATAAGGCATTTTTTATATATTTTACATGCAAAAACTATTTAGCCCAGTGCAGATATGTGAACTTTATTTAAACAGTTTTATAATAAAAAATTAAATATAATAGCCAAGCTCATTTGCATTAAATAAAGATCATATCTAATTATAGTAATTATTATACAAATAATATAAATCCACTCCAAAACTTTGTTAATTTAAATTACAATCTACTTATCTATATATTTCGGTACATTAGTCGATCTCCGCTACAGTTGTGAAGTCTGAGAGCACCGACAGCTATACTTTACATGAGTTTCATTTTTCTCAATCAATTGGAAATGATTTTTACCAAATGTGTAAATAAATACAAAAAGTCAGTTACTACTCAACTTTCTAAATGAAAGTAAATTATATTTCCCCTCAAATTATGACTTCAAATGTTTTGGTATTCTTGTTATAGACTTGTAAATGACATTTAAAACATAAGAAATATAAACAGATTAAAAAATAGTTTTAGTATTTATATTTAGTTTCAATATTCAATTAAAAACTAATTCTGAGTCAAATTGGGAGCTTAAACATTTTCAAATCCAATTTAATATAGCAACATATAACATAACAGTTTTGATTGAGCTTGCTTAAATTACATAAAATTTTTATTTCATAATTAACGGTAAATTGTGTGAAATGATAGTGTAGGCGATAAAGATTTCCCAGTAAAAGGATTTTGGCAATACAAATATATATTTTGTTAACTTTTTACTGCCATTTATGTATACAATTTCAATTTAATTGGTATTAATATCAGTGTTTGCCTTGAATTCAGCTTTTAAACTGTTGTACGAAATGAGAAATAAAATTCTCGTTTAAAATCATTGCTAATACTCTAGAGATTGTGAATAAAAACTAAACCCAACAACATTTGATAGCAATTGTGTGCAAACCGTGAGAATGAAATAAAAGTTCATTTCAAGACACACTTAATCAATCATTCAATTACCAGTCATTAACCTCAGCTTTAAATTAATTAAAAACATAACAAATTAATTATATTTTCCGTTTCTTATTTTATGGACACTAAATGCTCTTAAAAATAGCGCAATAGATATAAAAACTTTGTGTAATAAATATTAGCTGATCGTTATTGTTAACAATTTGTTTTGATACATTATATTATTTAATTTTAATTAAATAAGTAAGTATAAGTATGATAGTTTTTGTTTCATTCAGCAAATGAATTGTAAAATCTATTAAAAGAGATACAATTTACTAAAAACTCAATTTTGTTGAACAATCAAAATAAACAGTATTTCTAACCTATAAATATTGTCAATGCTTTCAGTGCTATTCAAGCGTTGAATTCATTTTCGTCAATACCTGTCCAAAAAAGCTATAAAATACCAACTCATCAAAAAAGACCCTTTTTGGGTACTATAGACTAATAACAAGAAAATTTATTTCAAAGGTTTGCACAAAAAAAAGTTTATAATTGTTTAAAAGTTATATAAAGAGTAAACACTATGTTTGACATAAAATTGTTTGATTTAAGAGACACTAAAAGTTTGATCAAAAATATATTATATTTAATGTTAGTTCAAACAATTGAATAATGTTTTACGAAATTATCGTTAATTTGGCGATAATATCAATATCAATGGCCTGGTATTACCCATATATTCCCAATGTATATACGGGTAATACAGGACACGAATATCCCGTGGACTACGACCCGGATGGTGGAGATCCCGAGCAGATCTCATTTGACGGCATATATGAGAGGCGAAAGAACTTCGACGTCGAGACTCCTATGGAATACCCATTAGAGTCGTCGCCTGAAGAGCCCGTCCCAACAAATGGTGATATTCTCCACTCTTATAACTCAGACCATAACTCAGACCATCAACACGACGACGGCATGCAATCCAGCGATGAAGACAACGGCAACTCGGCGGACATGGCTGACGACGAGCCGTCTGAATCTCAATCCAAATCAAAGCTACTCTCTGACGGATGTCTTCGGTGTTTATGTGAAGTATAAGACATAAAAGCAAATGATTGACACAATGCTTAAGAATAATGATTCACTTATTTCGAGAATGAATTGTCGATTCCTTATCGACACAAATAAAACAAAAGTTTATTTGTGAGCATAAAATCAATTGATTTAATGAGAATCAGTATTCATAAGCAAAAAATCGATACAAATCTTGTTTGACTCGACGTATGTCTCGTGTCATGAATTTGTAGGCAAGTTCTGAGTGCGACCCACAAGT